GATTGGCAGTTGAAGGAAACTGCTAGGGGAGGGAGGGGCATATCTCATCAATAAGGGTACCTGCATAATCAAAGTTTTTATACCTAACCGTGAATTGTACCCCACATCTTATAATTTAAAAAAAGAAAGAAAAAAATGTTGTGCTGCAAATACCAGCAAGAAAGTGAAAAGACAACCCATAGACTGAGAGAAAACATTTGCAAACCAATACATCCGATAAGATTCTCGTATCCAAAATATATTTTAAAAATTCTTACAGCTCACCTATAAAAAGACAACCCAACTTTTAAAAGTGGTCAAAGAATTTAAATAGACATTTCTCCAAAAGAAGATATACTAATGGCCAATATGCACATGAATGAATGCCCAATATCCTTAGTCACTAGAGAAATGAAAATCAAAACCGCAAGCAGATACACTTCACACCCACAAGGATGGCTAAAATAAAAAAGACAAACAATAAGTGTTAGGGAAGATGTGGAGGAACTGGAACACTCAAACATTCCCATAGGAATTGTAAAAATGGTTCAGAAACTTTGGAAAATAGTTTGGCTATTGTCAAAAATGTTAACATATAACCTGGCAATTTTACTCTGAGCATATAGCCAAGAGACTCAAAAACATATATCCACACAAACATTTGTATAGGAATGTTCATAGCAACATTATCCATAATAGCCAAAGGTGGTAACAACCCAAATGTCCATCAGCTGGTGAATGGATAAACAAAATATGGTGAATCCATATAATGGAATATTATTCTGCCATAAAAAGGAATGAAATGCTGTGTGCTTTCCTTACATGGACGGACCTTGAACCATCCATATGGTTGAACCTTGGCAGAATATTGAATGAACCTTAGAAAAGCACGTTAGCCGGGCTCGGTGGCTCAGCCTGTAATCCTGCACCTTTGGGAGGCTGAGGTGAGTGGATTGCCTGAGCCCACGGGTTCGAGACCCGCCTGGGCAGGCAAGACCTCATCTCTACAATAAATCAAAAAATCAGCCGGGTGTGGTAGCACGTACCTGTAATTCCGGCTACTCGGAAGGCTGAGGCAGAAGGATCGCTGGAGCCCAGCAGGTCGAGGCTGCGGTGGCCGGGAGCGGCCAGTGCACTCCAGTCTGGGCGACAGAGTGAGACTCCAACTCAAAACAAACAAAAAACAACAAAAAAAAGCACGTTAAGTGAAAGAAGCCAGTCACACAGGACTATATATTATATGATTCTGTCTATATAAAATGTTCAGAAAAGGCAAATCAATGGAGACATGAACTAGATTAGTAATTATGAGGGGTTTGGGGAAGTGCAAAATAGGAATAATTGCTAATGGGGATAGGGTTTACTTTGGGGTGATGAAAATGTTTGGAGATTAGATAGTACTGATGGCAGATGGGGACAGTGGCTCACACCTGTAATCCCAGCCTTTTGGAAGGCTGAGGCAGAAGGATCACTTGAGACCAGGAATTCAATAATAGCCTGGACAACATAGCAAGACATCTCTAGAAGAAAAAAAAATCTAAAAAACCTAGCCAAATCTGGTGGCATGTGCAAACAGCTCCAGTTAATTGGGAGGCTAAGGCAGGAGGACTGTGAGCCCAGGAGCTCGAGGCTGTAGT